TGTGTGTGTGTGTGTGTGTGGGGTGTGGGGTTTGTGTGTGTGTGTGCCACACTGAGTGAAGGTGAAACTGCCACACTGAGTGAAGGTGAAACTGACACACTGAGTGAAGGTGAAACTGCCACACTGAGTGAAGGTGAAACTGACACACTGAGTGAAGGTGAAACTGCACACTGAGTAAAGGGTTTGAAACTGACACACTGAGTGAAGGTGAAACTGACACACTGATGAAGGTGAAACTGACACACTGAGTGAAGGTGAAACTGACACACTGGTGAAGGTAAAAACTGACACACTGAGTGAAGGTGAAACTGACACACTGAGTGAAGGTGAAATGACACACTGAGTGAAGGTGAACTGCCCAAAACTGAGTGAAGGGAAACTGACACCAATGAGTGAAGGTGAAACTGACACACTGAGTGAAGGTGAAACTGACACCTGAGTGAAGGTGAAACTGACACACTGAGTGAAGGTGAAACTGACACACTGAGTGAAGGTGAAACTGACACACTGAGTGAAGGTGAAACTGACACACTGAGTGAAGGTGAAACTGACACACTGAGTGAAGGTGAAACTGACACACTGAGTGAAGGTGAAATGGCACACTGATAAAGGGTGAAACTGACACACTGAGTGAAGGTGAAACTGACACACTGAGTGAAGGTGAAACTGACACACTGAGTGAAGGTGAAACTGACACACTAAGTGAAAGACAAACACCGAGTGCTTAAAAAAAGTTGTAGTCACCAGATAAAGCATAACAGGTGTTTATATTCTCAGTAGTATGCCCTCATAGAACTGCACTTGTGTCGGTCTCTAGCTTCTGGCACCAGCCTCTTGAACTGACCAATTCAGTTACTAGCTAGGAAGGGGCCATCGTATTTACACCAGAGTCCATGTAGTCTCGTATTTCCGGCATATAAGGCGCACCTTTCCCCCAGAAAAACCTTGAAAATTCACCCTGCGCCTTATATGCTCAAAATCAGAGTCAAGGGTAGGCTTTGAGTTACACTTGAGCAGTTATTAACGTTACAACAACTTGGAAATATTGTCTTATGTACTCGTGCGCCTTATATGCCGGAAAACAAGGTAACCCGCCTTCAATACCTCCTCTCCAAGGTCACTCAACTCATTCACAAATAGATGCGTTTAACACATGTTTAACGCCAGTATTTCTAATGCTGAAAGGTTTCATTTGGGTAAGAGGCTTCTCCTGTTGTAAACAGGTGATAATAAGACCTCGACTGACTCCAGTCTTAATCACCTTTATTCCAATGAAGGAGCCTGCTGCGTAGACGATAATTTTCGACATTAGAGATATTCAGGTGTTGCACATGTGTCTTACTGTATTGTTGCTCCTGTGTGGTGTGTAGTGGAGAGTGTAGTGTGTAGTGGAGAGTGTAGTGGAGAGTGTAGTGGAGAGTGGAGAATGTAGTGGAGAGTGTAGTGGAGAGTGTGGTGGAGAGTGGAGTGTGTAGTGGAGGGTGTGGTGGAGAGTGTGGTGGAGAGTGTATGTAGTGGGAGAGGGTAGTGTGTAGTGGAGAGTGTAGTGGAGAGTGTAGTGGAGAAATGGGGGAAAGTATGGAGAGTGTAGTGGAGAGGGAGAATGTAGTGGAGAGTGTAGTGGAGAGTGTACCGTGTAGTGGAGATTAGTGAAAGGTATTTGTAATGGAGAGTGTAGGGTGTAATGGAGAGTGTAGTGGAGAGTGTATAGTGTAGTAGAGAGGGTAGTAGAGAGGGTAGTAGAGAGGGTAGTAGAGAGTGTAGTGGAGAGTGTAGCAGAGAGCGTAGTAGAGAGTGAAGTAGAGAGAGTATAGAGAAATGTAGAAGAGAGTGTTTGTGGAGAGTGTAGTGGAGAGTGTAGTGGAGAGTGTATGTAGTGGAGAGGGTAGTGTGTAGTGGAGAGTGTAGTGGAGAGTGGGAGTGTATGGAGAGGTGTAGTGGAGAGTGTAGTGGAGAGTGTAGTGGAGAGTGGAGAGTGTAGTGGAGAGTGTAGTGGAGAGTGTAGTGGAGAGTGTAGTGGAGAGTGTAGTGGAGAGTGTAGTGGAGAGTGTAGTGGAGAGTGTAGTGGAGAGTGTAGTGGAGAGTGGAGAGTGTAGTGGAGAGTGTAGTGGAGAGTGTAGTGGAGAGTGTAGTGGAAAAGTGTAGTGGAGAGTGTAGCAGAGAGGGGTAGTAGAGATGAAGTAGAGAGGTAGTAGAGAGTGTAGAAGAGAGTGTAGTGGAGAGTGTAGTGGAGAGTGTAGTGGAGAGTGTAGTGGAGAAATTGTAGTGGAGAAATGTAAATGGATAGTGTAGTGGAGAGTGTAGTGGAGAGTGTAGCAAAAGAGCGTAGTAGAGAATGAAGTAGAGAGAGTAGTAGAGAGTGTAGTGGAGAGTGTAGTGGAGAGTGTAGTGGAGAGTGTAGTGGAGAGTGTAGTGGAGAGTGTAGTGGATAGTGTAGTGGAGAGTGTAGTGGAGAGTGTAGTGGAGAGTGGAGAATGTAGGGAGAGTGTAGTGGAGAGTGGAGAATGTAGTGGAGAGTGTAGTGGAGAGTGTACCGTGTAGTGGAGGATTAGTGAGAGGTAGTTTGTAAGGGAAAAGTTAGGGTTGTAATGGAGAGTGTAGTGGAGGTGTAGTAGTGTAGTAGAGAGCGTAGTAGAGGGTAGTGGAGAGTGTAGCAGGGGGCGTAGTAGAGAGTGAAGTAGAGAGAGTAGTAGAGAGTGTAAAAGAGTGTAGTGGGGAGGGGGAGTGTAGTGAGAGTGTAGTGGAGAGTGTATTGGAGAGTGAGTGGAGAGGTAGTTGGGGGAGAGTGAGGTGTAGTGGAGAGTTTAGTGGAGAGGGTAGTGGTAGTGGAATTTAGTGGAAAAGGGTAGTGGAGAGTGGAGAGTGTAGTGGAGAGTGTAGTGGAGATGTAGTGGAGAGTGTAAATGGAGGTGTAGTGGAGAGTGTAGTGGAGAGTGTAGTGGAGAGTGTAGTGGAGAGTGTAGTGGGAGGTAGTGTGTAGTGAGATGTAGTTGGGGAGTGTAGTGGAGAGGGAGAGTGTAGTGGAGAAGTGTGGAGAGTTAGTGGAGAGGGGGTGAGATGTAGTGGAGGTAGGTGAGTGGAGAGTGTAAGTGGAAGAGTGTAGTGGAGAGTGTAGTGGAGAGTGAGAGTGGGAGTGGAGTGGAGTGTAGTGGAGATGTAGTGGGAGTGTAGCGGAGGTAGAGAGAGTGAGTGAGAGTGAAGTGGGAGTAGTAAATGTGAAGAGATGTAGGGAGAGGTAGTGGGGAGTGAGAGATAGGATGGAAGTTAGTGGATAGTGAGGGAGAGATTGAAATGTGTGGAGAGTGAGTGGAGAGTGTATGGAAGTTTTAGTGGAAGTGTAGTGGATAGTGTAGTGGAGAGTGAGTGGATGTAGTGAGGTGAGGGAAGTGTAGTGGAGAGTGTAGAGGAGCGATGAGTGTAGGTGAGGAGTGTAGTGGAAGTGTAGTGGAGATATAGTGGAGTTAGGTGGAGAGTGTGTGGGTGTAGTGGAGAGTGTAGTGAGAGTGTAGAGTGGGGAAGTAGAAGTTAGGAGAGTGTAGTGATAGAGTGTGGGAGGTGTAGTAGAGTGTGGGTTAGTGGTGTGTATTGGAGAGTTTTAGTGGAGAGTTAGTGGAGAGTTAGTGAGAGTGTAGTGGAGGTGTTGTATGAGTGTAGTGGAGAGTGTAGTGGAGTTTTAGTGGAGAGTGTATGGAGAGGTAGTGAGAGTGTGTGAGAGTTTTGGGAGAGTGTAGTGGAGAGGTAATTTGGGGAGTGTAGTGGAGAGTGTGTGTAGTGAGAGTGTAGTGGAGATGTAGTGGAGAGTGTAAATGAGCAGTAGTGTAGTGGAGAGTGTAGTGGAGAGTGTAGTGGAGGGGTATAGTGTAGCTGGAGAGTGTAGTGGAAGTGTAGTGGAGAGTGTTGTGGAGAGTGTAGTGGAAGTGTAAGTGGAGAGTGTAGTGGAGTGTAGTGGAAGTGTAGTGGAGTGTGTTAGAGTGTGTGGAGAGTGTAGTGGAGAGTGTATGGAGATGTAGTGGAAGTGTAGTGGAGAGTGTATGGAGAGTGTAGTGGAGGAGTGTAGTGATGTAGTGAGAGTGTAGTGAATTTTAGTGGAGAGTGTAGTGGGAGTGTAGTGGAGAGTGTAGTGGAAGTGTAGTGGGAGTGTAGTGGAAGGTGTAGTGCTGGTTATCAGTTTCAAAAGTAAAACTGTTGGGAGGTAAAAAATTCAAATTGAATAATATTTTATCTATTATTTTGTAAATTTCTCTTCTCTATCTTCAAAAAAACCTCCCTTCCCCCATCTAAAACCCTTCTATCCTTCTCCTCATTTCCCTCATCACCCCCCCCTCCACCCCTTTCAAAGGAAGACCGTGGCTTCACTCTGTTCATGCTGTGTTTCTCCTCACATAAATCGTCTCATCGGAATGAAGAAGAGAAGTAAGTGGAAAAGGGGAAGAGAAGAAGGAATTAGATGAAGAGAAGGGACAAAAGGGGACGAAAACAAACCAGAAAAGTAAATGGAACAAGAGGTTGAAGAGAGAGCATTAGAAGAAAACAGATATGAGGGGGAAAAGCACTAGAAGGTAGATGAGAACCAGAAAGAGGAGGAGAAGAAGAAGAAGGAGAAGGAGGAGGAGGAGAAGGAGAAAGAATTAGAGAACAATGTTAACTTTACAGTTACAAACAAGTTGCAGATATTTCAGGAACTGCAACTCTGAGTCAGTATCATCGTGCAACGCCAGAGTGAGACGGAACCCTCTGTTGAAGGTCTTGTTTGAGGTTTGGCATGATATTGGGAAGTACTAGTTTGGCAATAGAGTTGTAGAGTGGAATAAACTTCCAGGTAGCATCACTGAGGAGAGGATTTTGGGTAGCTTGAAATATAGGTTGGACTGGTGCGAGTTAGACCTACCTAGCATATCCCAGTTAGACCTCGTGAAAGGTTACTTCATTCTCGCATATTCTAACACACCTTCAGGGTAACACCAGCTGAGAAAATCTTCGTGTGACTATCGCCTGGCTCACCTGATAGTGTTGTGCGTATATAAGTGTGCATAAGGCTAGACGACCTTCACTTTCCTGCTCATCTTCCTCGAGATGAACACTTACAGTATCCTGCCGCTCCTGACTTCCTGCCTCCTCATCCAGAGGGTCGCTGCTCAGAGTCAATCTAGTATGTACTAAGAATCACATATGAGAAACATTCAGGTATGCTAGATACGAAATTAGGAAACACTGGTTTTTACAGATTACTTTGTGGATTTTGAGAATACTAATATTACCAATATTCAGAGTATTTCTCCTCGGCAGTTAGCGTTTAAAGAGTATTTTCTTGAGATATTTTCGACTAATAGTTTCTGATCAATATTCTCCCAAGTATTTACCTCTACGAACAGTTTCTGATCAACATTCTCCCAAGTAGTTACCTCTACGAACGGTTTCTGATCAATATTCTCCCAAGTATTTGCCTCTACGAACGGTTTCTGATCAATATTCTCCCAAGTATTTACCTCTACGAACGGTTTCTGATCAATATTTTGTGTATTTTCCTGAAAGATTTGTCACCCTGTGGGTGACAAATGTAACAACACTGAGGTTGACAATATAACAACACTGTGGGTTTACAATATTATAACACTGTGGGTGACATAGCAGCACTGATGTTGGCAATATTATAACAAGACTGTGGGTGACAGGTGTGGGCGTCGACCTGCGTAATGTCACGCAGGTGTTACAGCTCAGTAATGGTCTGGACTGGGGACTCTGGGGATCAATGGAGTTCTGCGAGGTGGGAAGTTTCGCCCATGCTTTTGAAATTAAGGTAAGTCCTATCAAGTTGCTGCGTGCATCGTGGGGCGCCTTCGTTGGCGATACTGTACGTATAATTACGTGCTTTTGTGATTATTACACGTATCATTACGTACTTTTGTGATTACTGTACGTATCATTACGTCCTTTTCTGATTACTGTACGTATCGTTACGTGCTTTTGCAGGTAATGTAATGTCACATCTTTTTGTAGTTACTGTAGGTACCGTCCCATCTTCTTGATGCTACTGTAGGTACCGTCCCATCTTCTTGATGTTACTGTAGGTACCGTCCCATCTTCTTGATGTTACTGTAGGTACCGTCCCATCTTCTTGATGCTACTGTAGGTATCGTCCCATCTTCTTGATGTTACTGTAGGTATCGTCCCATCTTCTTGATGTTACTGTAGGTATCGTCCCATCTTCTTGATGTTACTGTAGGTATCGTCCCATCTCTTGATGTTACTGTAGGTATCGTCCCATCTTCTTGATGTTACTGTAGGTATCGTCCCATCTTCTTGATGTTACTGTAGGTACCGTCCCATCTTCTTGATGTTACTGTAGGTACCGTCCCATCTTCTTGATGTTACTGTAGGTACCGTCCCATCTTCTTGATGTTACTGTAGGTACCGTCCCATCTTCTTGATGCTACTGTAGGTATCGTGCCATCTTCTTGATGTTACTGTAGGTATCGTCCCATCTTCTTGATGTTACTGTAGGTACCGTCCCATCTTCTTGATGTTACTGTAGGTACCGTCCCATCTTCTTGATGTTACTGTAGGTATCGTCCCATCTTCTTGATGTTACTGTAGGTATCGTCACATCTTCTTGATGTTACTGTAGGTATCGTCACATCTTCTTGATGTTACTGTAGGTATCGTCCCATCTTCTTGATGTTACTGTAGGTATCGTCCCATCTTCTTGATGTTACTGTAGGTACCGTCCCATCTTCTTGATGTTACTGTAGGTATCGTCCCATCTTCTTGATGCTACTGTAGGTATTGTCCCATCTTCTTGATGTTACTGTAGGTACCGTCCCATCTTCCTGATGTTACTGTAGGTATCGTCCCATCTTCTTGATGCTACTGTAGGTATCGTCCCATCTTCTTGATGTTACTGTAGGTACCGTCCCATCTTCTTGATGTTACTGTAGGTATCGTCCCATCTTCTTGATGCTACTGTAGGTATCGTCCCATCTTCTTGATGCTACTGTAGGTATCGTCCCATCTTCTTGATGTTACTGTAGGTACCGTCCCATCTTCTTGATGTTACTGTAGGTATCGTCCCATCTTCTTGATGCTACTGTAGGTATCGTCCCATCTACTTGATGTTACTGTAGGTACCGTCCCATCTTCTTGATGTTACTGTAGGTACCGTCCCATCTTCTTGATGCTACTGTAGGTATCGTCCCATCTTCTTGATGTTACTGTAGGTACCGTCCCATCTTCTTGATGCTACTGTAGGTATCGTCCCATCTTCTTGATGTTACTGTAGGTATCGTCCCATCTTCTTGATGTTACTGTAGGTACCGTCCCATCTACTTGATGTTACTGTAGGTATCGTCCCATCTTCTTGATGTTACTGTAAGTATCGTCCCATCTTCTTGATGTTACTGTAGGTATCGTCCCATCTTCTTGATGTTACTGTAGGTATCGTCCCATCTTCTTGATGTTACTGTAGGTATCGTCCCATCTTCTTGATGTTACTGTAGGTATCGTCCCATCTTCTTGATGTTACTGTAGGTATCGTCCCATCTTCTTGATGTTACTGTAGGTATCGTCCCATCTTCTTGATGTTACTGTAGGTACCGTCCCATCTTCTTGATGTTACTGTAGGTACCGTCCCATCTTCTTGATGTTACTGTAGGTACCGTCCCATCTTCTTGATGTTACTGTAGTACCGTCCCATCTTCTTGATGCTACTGTAGGTACCGTCCCATCTTCTTGATGTTATTGTAGGTACCGTCCCATCTTCTTGATGCTACTGTAGGTATCGTCACATGTTTTTTATAGTTCTGTGTTATGGAAGGTGTTTTCAAATTCATGATATATTCTCCTTCTGTGCTATCAAAATCACCGTGTTTTTCAGCTTATGGTATTTGAAGCCATGTTTCGCCCATATATTTAAAGCCATGTTTCGCCCATGTATTTGAAGCCATGTTTCGCCCATGTATATGAAGCCATGTTTCGCCCATGTATATGAAGCCATGTTTCGCCCATGTATTTGAAGCCATGTTTCGCCCATGTATTTGAAGCCATGTTTCGCTCATGTATTTGAAGCCATGTTTCGCCCATGTATTTGAAGCCATGTTTCGCCCATGTATTTGAAGCCATGTTTCGCCCATATATTTGAATCCATGTTTCGGTCATGTATTTGAAGCCATGTTTCGCCCATGTATTTGAAGCCATGTGTCGCCCATGTATTTGAAGCCATGTTTCGCCCATGTATTTGAAGCCATGTTTCGCCCATGTATATGAAGCCATGTTTCGCCCATATATTTTGAATCCATGTTTCGGTCATGTATTTGAAGCCATGTTTCGCCCATGTATTTGAAGCCATGTTTCGCCCATGTATTTGAAGCCATGTTTCGCCCATGTATTTGAAGTCATGTTTCGCCCATGTATTTGAAGCCATGTTTCGCTCATGTATTTGAAGCCATGTTTCGCTCATGTATTTTAAGCCATGTTTCGCTCGTGCGTTGAATTTTCTTTTTGTTCTGAGCTATCGTAGTCGCTTCGTGGTTTACCCGTTCCCTCGAAGTCACGATTTACCTCCTCTTACGAAGTCAGTATTCCAGACGCAGTAGTTCTCATACGTTCGTTCTCGGAGACGAAGTCTGAGAGACATTTGCATTTCTTTTTATATTTGGAGGTCACCAAATATTTAATTTTTTTTTTTGGTTTCAAAGTTTTCAAATCAAGAAATTAGATTTCTTCGTTACTTGAAAGTCACCCCGTGAATTTTATTTTTGAATTGATTATCAAAAATCAGTCATTTTTGACCTGACTGTGGACACGAGTGAATTTTTTTTCCTAAGTTAGAAAACAAGTAATATTTATGTCGTGCCGAATAGGTAAAACTTAAGATTTTTTAGCTTAGATAGGAACGTTATTGTTGCCGAATAAGGCAAGCGAAAATTTCTGTACGCAATAATTTCGCAAAAATCATTCTGAACCCAACGAAAAAAAAAAATTCCCTGTTTATTAAATTATTGTAAACTTATTTAAGATATATTTAATTGGATTAGGCTAAATTAAATTGCGCTTGTTATAACAAGGCTAGGTAAATTTTCTAATTGTTTTTTGGTACAAAATTATTATTTTTTACATTAACATAAATGAAAAAAATATATACATCTTTAAACGTATAAGAGAAAATTTTAAAAAGGACTTAATTTTAAATGAGTTCTTGCTAATTTAATGAGAGACGGTAAGTGCCCTGTTCAAGAATGGTGGTTAACTAGTTTGATTATTGGTTCAGTTCGAGCCTGCGGGCAGCGTGGACGACACCGCTGTGAACGGTGTTAAGCTCTACTGCAGGACCCCAGCAGGCTACGACACTAGCTACGTCACCTCTGTGGTAGGGAACGAAGGAGATTGGCAAGGTGAGAGAGAGAGAGAGAGAGAGAGAGAGAGAGAGAGAGAGAGAGAGAGAGAGAGAGAGAGAGAGAGAGAGAAGAAGTGGGTGAATGGCTCACTGTCAATAATGTGTACGCTTTTTATTACAGCCTACAAACACCTTAGTCCAAATATCTCACAAGACGTGTTAAGAAGCGCCTGAGTTCCCCTGTCTCCTAATATCATGTTTACTTTTCCACTATAATCTACCTTGTCCGTAATTACTATCGTATTTACTTTGTTTCGTAAGGTGAAGTCCAGGATCTTTCCTTAATTCATGGTATAACTTAACAAATCTTTGAGGACAATTGTGTTACAGAAGCCTGAGCTTCGCTGAGCTTTGCTCAGATATCTGCAACACAATTGTCATCAAAAATTTAAGTTATACCTGTAGAGGAAAAAAATAACATTAGAAACCAGGGGGAACTGACGCTGCTTGCGCTTCTCTCCTGCAGGCATGCGTGTGTGCCACGAAGGCTTCCTGACGGGGCTGACAGCGGAGGTGTTGGAACCTCAGGGAGTACTACACGATGACATCGCTGTAATGAACGTTGAGATGCAGTGCGACTACAACGCTGAAACCTTATTAGGTGTTGACCTCGACGACAACACGGTCAGTGAAAGCTGTTGGAGTGTGTTTGATGGTACAGAAAGTGTGAGAGTAGACAGGTGGAGAGAAGTGGAGTGTGTGCTGTGACGTAGACAGGTAATGGAGAGAGTAATTGAATATTAGGTGATGGAGATAAGTGTCTGGAGTGTATTAGGTGATGGAGAAAGATGCTGGAGTGTGTTGTGATGGAGAGAAGAGGATGGTGTGTGTTAGATGATAGAAAGAGCTGTTGGAGTTTGTAGAGTGGTGAGGAGAGGTGCTGGTTTGTGTATAGTGGTGAAGAGAGGTGTTCAGAGTGCTGGAGATACATGTCTGGATTGTGTAGAGTGGTGGAGAGAAGTGTTGGTGTGTGTAGAATGGAGAGGCATTTGAAAAGTGTAAAGTGACCTGGTAAGTTCGACATAGGGCGAAACGTTGTCCTAGTAGAAACTCGTTCAGCATCCAGTACCTCTCTGACACTCTTCACCAACATCTGCTACACGACTACACCTTCAGTGTTGATAATATTCAGTGTTGCCATTTCAGTACCCCGCAGGGACCTGGGGCGACTGGCAACAGTGTGCAAAGAACACCAAGGTGTGCGGCCTGCAGGTGAGTGCACAGTGCACCATGCGCATTTACAGCTCTTACATTTACAGCACTTCCTACTTTTGCAGAACGTCCCACATTTACAGCACGGCCAACATTTACAATACATCGTCCAATATTTACACCACGTCACATATTTACACCACGTCACATATTTACACCACGTCACATATTTACACCACGTTCAACATTTCCAACCTTCTCAACAATTCCATTTTCCTTCACCTGTTAAAATATGCATTGAAAAATGCATTTCTCTCAGTGTATATACACCGGAAAGTGCATGGATCTCGGTATATAATATATATATATATATTTATATATATATATATATATATATATATTATATATATATATTATATATATATATATTATATATTATATATATATATATATATATATATATATATATATATATATATATATATATATATATATGCAATAAGATCACAGTAAACAGGTGATTTCAGAATATGCAAAACAACCACTCTGAAAGAATAGAGAAATTCCAAGCGCTTTCGTGGCTACTCACATTATCAAGGAACTATGAAAGTAAAGCATCCAAGGAAGCTATATAAGGGGTCTGGCCAGCACCTCACTATCAGATCCCACAACGGTTAAACACGTGACGCGCGCCGACCCAACTTGGATAGGTCCTTTGCACAACTCACCCACAAACTATTCTACCCAAGAAAATTTAAAAATTATTATTTGTCCAGTGTATTATTAAATTCTTCCCAAATTCTATTAATTATAAATGGATCTAATTTATATAAACCAAAGGAAATATTCATATTGTTGTCAAAACTGCTTTTTATGAAGCAAGATTCAGTTATATTCCTGTCGACCATGGACTTGCTTGATACTACTTTCTCAACTTTGAAAATCAATTGGATGGTTAAAATCTCTTACATGAATAAATAGAGCATTGGAATCTTGTCCAGTTCTAATGCTATATTTATGTTGTTTTAATCTTAGTTCGAGATTTTTACCAGTTTGACCGTAATAAACTTTATCGCAAATTTTACAAGGAATCTTATAGACACATCCATCAGCATTTTGGGGGGAATTCTTTATCAAAAGTTTTTTTACTGTATCAAGATTTTTGAATACAACTTTAATATTAAAAGTCTTAAGAAGAGAAGGCATATCAACCAAGTTTTCATGGTAAGGGAGAACCAACATATTTTTAGTTGAATAATGCTGGTTGTCCCTTTTTGGATTGTAAAAAGTATTTCTAGCAACTTTAAAAGATTTATCAATTACATTTCTTGGGTATTTTAAATCATTACCTATTTCATAAATTTTGGATATTTCCTCATCTATGAACTCAGGACTACAAATTCGTAAAGCTCTCAAAAACATTGATGAGAAAACAGACAGTTTGACTCTATCTTGATGCGAAGAATAATAGTGGACATAGGAACAGTTATTTGTAGGTTTTCTGTAAATTTTAATTCATTATTACCCTTAATAATTAAAACATCTAGAAAAGGCAATGAGTTATTTTCTTCAAACTCAACAGTAAAGTTTATAGAATGGGCTAAGCTATTTAAATTTCCTAGGAAATGGTGTATATCTACATTTTTGGGCATAAGACACAAAATATCATCATCATATCTGAACCATTTAGCTCTATTAGGGAGGATTGTGTTAAGCAACCTTGTTTCAAAAAATTCCATGTATAGGTTACTAAGAACAGGTGAAAGAGGATTTCCCATTGCCATACCAAACTT